CAACTGGGGAGGGGGAGGATGTGGGGAAAGGGAGAGGGTGACAGACTGAGAGGGTGGGAAAAGGTCTGTGAGAACAAACCCCTTCCCCTAAGTACCTCTCCCCTCCATAACCCCTCACAAAGTCAGACTGTTTCAAAAGATGGTGGGAACGAGGGGCGCGTCCAGGGATAACAGAACGCACAGCTATGAGCAAAAGCAGGTATCATCCCAAGAAGCCACAAATCTTAAGTAAAAAATAAAGCTTTTATGAAGTTAGTCTCTTATCGGTAAGTCACTTCCTTTATTTTTTTTATGTTTATGAGGACCAGTCCACTTTCATACTATGTTAATATCAAAGTGACCAAAGGTATATGCCTAAAGTTACACCGAAGTTGTAGGTTAACAACCAACTGATTTATTGTTTCTAAATTTTTGTTTAAATTCATGTGCAGTGGCCTAAGAAGGAGTAACATATAACATATTAGCATATAATACTTACTGAGTGTTTACAATATGCTAGCCACTGTGCAATGTTCTTTGCCAGGATTGGCTTTAACAACACTACATTAGAGATTATGATTCTTCCCATCAAAGAGACTGAGGCTCAGAGATGGGATGACTTGACCAAGGTTACAAAATTAGCAAGTGGCAGAGCTGGAATCTAAATTCTGGAATTTCTGCTCTAGCAAGGCCTGGGCATTTACACTACTCTGTAAAATAACTAATAAAATTGAGACAAATGACACATTTAGGAATGAAGGAAGGACTTCTAAGTGGAGAAACAGAGGCTGAAATGGCAAGACAGAGAATAAGAATTGGGATATGCAAAAGACAATGGCACGAGCGGTGGATGGTGGAACCGAGGATTTCCAGGCCTCACCCTGGGAATTTCTCAGTGTCCTGGCACTCGCTCGAAGGAAGAGGAAATCCAGCAGAAGGAAAACTCTATTGAGAACCTAAGATGATGTTTGATGGGAGTGTGTCCAAGCTTGATGATACAATGGGAGAAGTCGTGAAAGAAGTTGGTCGGTCACCTTTATTTCATGACGAGTAAGTAGGAATACTCCAAATTACTCTACTGAATTGCCTCTTTATCCTGTTTTGTATTACAGTGTCTATCATTAAAAGTGTTGCAATAGAGACGCGAGAGTTACGGCTGCAGAGTTCATTCATCCTGCCGGAGGGGACGGCTTAGTGGCCCAAATGCCAGCTGTCACCAGCTATGACACTCTGCACCCGCAGGTTAATATGCAAGTGGCACTGACTCAGCAGCTCATCTCCCGAACGCAGCTAGTTCCACAGTTCACTCATACTGGTGGAGGGTCTTTCAGACCGTGTCTGGAAAAAACCTGTCTGTCCTGCTTGAAGGATGAGGATCCCTAGAACTGTTACAGACTTAGGATATCCCCCAGTGTCCTGCAAACATGAGAGAGAAGTGAATCAAAGGGTCTTCTCATACTCTCTCAGCATGGGTACCCTATCCTGGCTAGCTTTCCCTTCTCCTTTTTAAAAAATATTTTAGTTATTTATTTGTCAGAGAGAGAGAGAGAAAGCCTAGGCAGGGGGAAGAGGAAAGGGAGAAACAGGCTCCCCACTGAGCAAGAAGCCTGACGTGGGACTCGATCCCAGGACCTCGAGATCATGACCCGAGCCAAAAGCAGACACCCAACCAACTGAGGCACCCAGGCACCCCATCTTTCCCTTCTTTATCAGTAGCCTCACACAAAGCCAACACAGCCTTCCCTTAAACCATTCCTTTCAATTCAACCATTTAATATTCTTACTATATTTTAGATGTCTGTACTAGTGTCTTTCATCATCGCCTTCTTATAATTTCTTAAGCTCATTATTTCAAGTCAAATCAGTTCAGTTATCCACTTTATGATACAAACTGCTCTTGTATGTACAAATCTTTCACCTTTATGACCTTTTCAACTTACTTTATAACGACAAGCTAGGAATGTTTAGTAGTTACAAAAAATCATGCTACCACTATGTGAATCAATCAGTAGCTAGAATGGTTCTTTATAAAATTATATGCTTAAAAATTTATCGTCTAAATTTGTATCAATTTGAAGTCCTTGTTCCAGTTGTAATTTCAAAATGAATACAACACACGTTAATCGAGTACTCACTGTGTGTCAGATTTTGTTTGAGGCACTTATATACCGCATTAAAAAAACAAAAACCAGTTCCGTCCCTACTACAGTCTAGTGACGGTGACGGACAACCATAAACAGATGTTAAGGGCCATAACCATGGTCCAGGAAAGTCCCCCAGATTCATTCTCTCTGTGAACTCAGAGGTTTTGAGAAGAGACTTGAAGTTTCTTACTTCTAAATGCATAGTTTGACAGAATCTGATTTTCAAATTTGAGCTTCTAAATTAATCTAAATCCTGAATGTGCAGAGATTTGTTTTAAAAAGGAAGTGATACATAGTTAAACCTATAAGGACAGGACCATGGGAATTTGAGAAACTGGAGGGGTGAGCTGAATATTAACATATGCTAATTTTATTTATGCCTCAGGATCTTTACACAATGATTTCCTTTTTTGCTTTTTTCTTCTGCAAGCCCATTCCGAGATTTCATCACTACATTCTTCATTGTCATCCCTCAGACGTTATCAATCTTTCTGATACATCACGCACCACTCCTCCTTCTACTCTACCTGACTCTTCGATGGGACTACTTCCATATATGCTGACATTCTAGTTATGCCAACGATCCAGCCCTTCCTTTTCCAGCTACCTCTGCCATTAGATCACTATCTCCTTCTTTAATACCCACTGCTAATTGTATTTGTTTATTTCCCACACAGAATGCGAGATGTGCTTCATTTTAGTAAGATTTCAGTCCTACTGTCTGGTGATATGGAATTTCTTTTTTATGTTAACTTGCTCCTTCTTTATAATTTCACTGTAATTTACCGATATCGACATACTTTATCCTTAAATTCTACAGGTGATTAGTAAGGGCAGGGAAATGAGCAATCTTTAGTTATTTCTTATAAGCTCTCAATTTTCTTCCCCCCAATTTCCCATTATCCAAATATTTATTTATTTCTTCAGGACGACTGCAGGGTCATCTACGGGGCTGTCTTCCAGCATTCAGCATATCTTTGTGTCTAGTGACTGGCATTAGGACTGGAATACAAGGCCTGTTCACACTACATTCAAAATGTCCTCCAGCCACCACCCGGAGGGAGTGTGGTGAAACCCGTGGAATGTTGATCCACCATGGCTGTCTACGTCAGCAGCCACCTGCCTGGCGCCCTCTGGTGGTGACAGGATGCCCAGACTGGGATGGCCACTAGACAGAACCTCAGTACTGCCTCTGCACCTGCTGGCTTGAGTACCTCCTGGCTTCTATTTTATTAATTCGATATAGGCTTGGTCCTTCCCTTCTCTTCCCTTCATTTTCCTTTTTCTTTTCTCATTTTATTGTTTAACACCTCGTACTTAGTGCTGATTTAGGCCTTTACAGAGGAGCATATGGTGAGGGTAGAGGAGACACTGAAGTGTGATGACAGGGGTGGCCATAATGACTGGGACATACAGCTTGCTTTAATCCCAAGAGAATGTCGCAGTGCTTGAAGAGAGAATCGCCTATCTTCCATTTCCCACGACAAGAAAACACAAGCTGAACGCACATCGGGGGATTTTTATCTCACTAGAAGAAAATATCCATTCAGTATTATAACAGAGAAACAGAAACTAAGATCAACTGTGAAATATTCTTTACAAGTTGTTAACATTAGAGTCAAGTAGCACCTTCTTAAGATAATGTAAATTTCATTCTGTCTAAAGTCTGAGATGAACAACAATGACCCAACGCCCCTCTACTCTCCAGATTCTGACTCTGGCATGTGAATCCAAGTGTTTCTAAAAAGAAGTCAGTTTAATATTCATCTTCTATGAATATATCAGTTGCTGTGGCAGTATTTCACTTAACGTTATCTGGGGTACGAAAAAGTTTATTGCTTCTCTAAATGTCTGTCTTCCTTCTGTCAATCCCATTCAAAAATTTGCATTCAATATCACCTGAATATACAGTTACTCAGAAAAACTGGAAATGTGGTTAGATGTACCAGCTTATTGGGGACTTCCTAAAAAGAGAGTATTTGTATTTTTACTCTATCAGGATGCAAATTACTCTACCTGGAGTCATCACACATATATTCTGAGTTCCAGAGAAGGGCCTATATCAGAATAAGAAAGTAAACTAAATTTGAGCTATCATTCTCTTCATCAAACTCAATTTCTTTTGGAACTTCTACTCTTCCTTTACAGTTTATAACCACCCAGCAATTCAAATGTAAAGTCTAGAAATCACCAATAATATCTAATTGATAAACAAAATGAAAAAGGCTCTCATTCAAGCCCTGGATAAAGCAAGAAGAGTCACAATTGTCTTCAATGTAGAAATATTATGTGGCAAGAGTAGAGGTAGAAGTACAGGGTAGGATTATTTTGTATGCTTCAAATATAAAACAAATTATGAAAAATCCTTGATCCCATAAATGAAAACCCAATACCTCTTCTCTGTTCCTCCTTCTCAAGTCCACACTCTGACATAGTTTAAGCACTCTTAAAACCATAAGCCAGGCCATGTCAATCTCCTGCTCTCAGCCATCCTTGGCTTATATCAAAGTCCTTCCCAAGGCCCTACATGAGCTAGCCCTGGCTATCTTTTCAAGAGCATTTCCTACCCGTCTCCCCATAACTCATTCACGTTTAGAATCAACCGTGTCTCTGAAGGAACTGACAACATGCATGTTCATTCTTGTGCTTAATCTGTCATTCCAAAGGCTATTTGGGTTTTCCAAAATGAAGTGACAAAAGTCGTAGGCACAACGAGCCAATATAATAATTGCCAAGAGACAAGATCCGGTCGAGGGAAGTTAGTCATATGTATGCCTAACTCTCCCAAGAAACTGTTTTTACGGACATGTCAGCAATTAGGGCAGGAATTGCTCTGCTGATGACATTTCACCAAATTAACAGCCACCGAAGACTTACCAGCAGCTACTATGATAATATCCGCCAGCTGAGTATGGGTCTTCAGTTGTTCTTTGGGAGTATATCTGTGAGCTATGGTCACTGTTGCATCACCTGGAATGGAGAAGAATGTCCATTAATGGTTACTGAGCTTTTTCAAAATTTATGAATGCTCCAATTCTAGAGGAGATTCATTTACAGCCTAAGAGCAGGAAAACTGCTTTGAAATTAAGAACAAATCTAGAAAAGAAAACCTAGATGACCCAGAATATCATACTCTTCAATTAACCAGCAGAAAATCAGCTAAGACCATATGAGAGTATGTGCTGACCATCATAAGAGAGCTAAAAGTAAGGTTCTAGAAACACAGCATCAGAAAGTCTGTATTGATGGGTTAATACGTAAATGCAGGGGATACTCATTGGTCTGATAACAAGGTATATAAATACTGAAAACAGCAAGATAAGGGCACCCAAAATGGGGCAATGTATTGTGGGAGCACAGCTGAGAGATTAATTCTGCGTCTTCTTTTGAGGGTATCTAGGAAGGGTTCCTAAAGGAGACAGTATCCTTTTTTTAGGTCTCAAAGTATGAGCAAGGGCATACTAGTTAAAGAAAGAAAGAAAGGGCATTCCAAGCCAACAGAATAACCAGAAAAAAATTGACTAATTTTGAAGTTGTACGTTTAGGAAATGACAAAGAGGTATAAAATAGAACAGGAAGTATTTGTACAGGCTTTAAGGAACTGGCATGTGAATAAGAGAGCTCAGCAGCCTGAGGGGTTTGCAGCACTTCAAGAGTGAGCCAAGGAAGAGGAGTGAAAGACAAGCTGGGAGAGGGAAGTCAAAGAAGAACTTCCGGTGAAGACCCAGCTGTGTGAGTCAGGGCCTTCTCTCTTCTCCTAGAACATACAAATGCTACACATTTAATGACAACAACAAAACTCCATGATCTTCATTTTCAGCAAAACTAGAAGACATATTTTCCACAGACTCCAAAAAATGTCTGAGCGTTACCCAGGACTGGCACAGCTAGCATACACCACACAGGAAGACAGGCCGCAAAGACATGCAGAGAGTGAGATGGCCAGGAGCGGCTGGTCTCTGAAAATGAGCGCAGAAACATACTGTGTGAAGGTGGAGGGTTCAGGTCAATCTCTCATCTGTAGCAAAGAGAGAAATAAATGCGGAAGAAGCCCTCTTGGATCCAGTCAACTTCATGGTGGCTGGTAACGGAGAGCTCCCATGGAGGAGCCACTTCAGCAGGAAGCAGTCTGAGTCTGTGTTAAGTGGTGAAGGAGGGATCTGAGGGAGGCCCGGCACCTCCTCCCCAACCCCCAGAAGAACTACCCTGAGAACAGCAGATCCAAGAAACCCACCTCATTCAATGGTAAGTAACAACAACAACAAAAATATCTGACACAGAATTAGTAAAAGGATGCCATCTGAAAACCAGCCCAGGAGAATCTGGGGTGTGATGGAGCCGTTCTGATTCTAGTGGTAGTGATGTGACTACATGTGTTTGTCTAAATTCATGGAACTGTACACCCAAAAGAGTGAATTTTACTCTATTTTTAAAGTAAATAAAAGAATTCATTTTAAAAATGGCAAACCCAAGGATTGCATGGATCCCTGGGTGTTATATGCAAACAATGAATCATAGAAAACTACAGCAAAAACTAATGATGTACTGTATGGTGACTAACATATCATAATAAAAAAATTAGAATGGGAAGGGCAAAGATGAGAAAGTTTGCTGATCACCTACTATCTAAGGGCTAGAATCAACAGAAAACATTTAAAGTTGATCAATCAAATAATAGAAGTATAAGAATATTTAGAAGGATAAGGTAAAACATTAAGAGATCATTTTTATCGGCAAATATAAAGTAGGAGAAAAAAGAAATGGAATCAGGGAAGAAAAAGAAAGTATTTCTATCATTTTTTAAAATTAGAGTATCAATAGATACCATATGAAGAAAAGAGAACTAAGAGTACTGTGTAAAGTTAAAACTATTAGAGTAAAAATAAACCTCCCTAAGTATCAGAAGAACCATACACAAGAAAGAAAAAATGTAAAAAATAATAAAAGCCACAAAAACAAATAGAACAGAAAATAATTACAGTTCACATCTTTTATATTTATCATCATAATAAAGTTTCCTAAGTTACCTATTTAAAAGAATAATATTTCCAAATTGGCTCACAAAGCAAAAACAAAATCTAATTCTTTACTTTATGTAAGGTATATCTAAAACAAAGCTGTTTGGAAATGTTAAAAATAAAAACTGGGCAAATGTGTAGCAGGGAAATGACAAAAAAGGTAATATGTTCTTATTGTCAAATAAAGAGAAATTTAGCATTAAATAGGACAACGAAGTACACACTATAATGCAAAGACATGATTCAAATGAGCACACAATGGCAAACATATAATATATAAAAGAGAAACATAGTTCATGCACAGAAATTACAGGGGCTACAAACTGAAAAAGAAACACATTGTATTTGCTGAATTTAATTCATCTTTCTCAATGCACAACAGATCAAAGATATAGAAAATGTACATAATATAATTAATGTTATGTGCCTGATTGTAATATATCACATTTTGAAAGTAGAACATATATTTTTTCCATGCGATCATCGAATATTTTTTAAGTGACATGATTTCAGATATAAAGAAAATTCAATTAATACCAAAAAAAAATAGCTACATAAACCTCAGATATTTCCTTTGATCACAAATCAATAAAGTTATAATTATTGAAAAAAATCAGAAATTACAAGGTTCTTCCACTGGAATTTTTTTAAAGGCCTATTTTGAATAATTCTTGGGTTGGGGCACCTGGGCGGCTCAGGCAGTTAAATGTCTGCCTATAGCTGAAGGCATGATCCCAGGGTCCTGGGATCGGAGCCCCACATTGGGCTGCCTGCTCAGCAGGGAGCCTGCTTCTCTCTCTCTCTCTCCTGCCTCTCTCCCTCAAATAAATAAAATCTTAAAAAAAAATAAATAAATAATTCTTGAGTCAGAAAGAAAACACAAAATAAGAGTATAGGATTTCTAGAAACATTTATAATGAAATTACTATATATTAGAACCTATAAAATAAAGATAAAACAAAGCACAGAGGAAAACTCATAGACCTAAATTATTATATCAATAAAATAAAATAAGAAAATCAATAACTCAACTTAAAAAAGTTAGATAAAGAACAAAAAGGAAACAAAAGAAATTAGAAGGTAAGGTGTTAATGTTAATTAAGTAAGTCTAAGACCTGTACTTTCATAAGCAGTGAGAGAATTCAACAAAATACCAAGTAGAAAATATACAGTAATAAATAGCTTTCATATGTAACAACACTTTAGAAGAAAAAGTGAAAGAGAAGACTCCATTATAATAACAATACAAAAGATAAAATATGTGTCTTAAATAAGTAAACTTAACATAAATGTGCAAAATCCATCTGAAAAAAGAAAAATCTCCAGAACAACACCAAAAGACACAAGACTGAAGAACTAGGCACAGACCTGTACCCCTGAAGCAAATAATACATTCTATGTTAATAAATTAATTAATTAATTAAATTAAAAAAAACATATTCTTGGATAAAAGACTCCATATCCTAAAGATTCATAATTCTATGTTCATTACATATTTAACAAAATTCCAATAAAAACTGGTAGTTGTGCATTTTTTTGGAAGAATATAATTTCATCCTAAAGTCAGTAAGGACAAGTAAAAGAATAACGAGGACAGGTTTGAAAAGGAAGAACGACGAGAGGCCACGGACCTAGTAGTGCTTTAGAGCGGTCGTATTTCGGTCAATGGTACCACCTTCCGCCCAGCTACCCCGGGCAGGAGTCTGTGAGGCTCCCTTCTGTCTCCTCTCCCCTTCACTTGCTCTACACCGTCAATAAATGTCGAGTATATGTTTCAAACCACCCCACGGCAAACCTATGAAGCATCCTCCCATCTCTCCCTTAGTACAGTCCCCCTGTGTGCGGAAAGGTCCCCTTAGACTTTAGTGACCCCTTCGAGAATGTCCTGCTGCATGAGAGCCCCCCCCACAAAAATCAAAACCAAACACCCCCCCATCCTTGATGAGTTTCTGATTAAATGATATCAACCCACAGAGAGGCTTTCAGCCTACAACTCAGGAGACGAAGGGTGACAGCAAAAGAGAGGTAAACCAAGGGAGTTAAAGGCAAATGTGTTTAAATTATGCCTCAGTCTCTCAGCCTTTGGCCCTTGCTGCTAAGAACTGTGGTACCTGCTCCTGGGGCTGCGAGCCAGCGAACCCGAACACTGCTTAGTTAAGCTGTGAGAGTTCTCGTCATTCCTGTTTTCAGGTCTGGTGCCCTCTTACTTTTCTTCCGCGAATCCTCTGGCTCGCTGCCCCTAATCCTAACTCCTCAACTCTTCCCTGGGGTGACCAGTACCGACAAGCCCCAGCACCTACTTGGCAGAATGATGCATATCTCTGACCCTCAGATGACTTTTTCCCACACTCGGCTTTATCCTCTGACTGTGCATGTGATACCAGCTGGGCGAGGGCCTAATTTTTCTAACTACTGCACAGACCCAGATAAAAACTTTTATAAGCAGAGTCTTAAGCAATTTCGTGGTACCCGGCGTTTGACATCATGTTTGTAAGATACAGCAAGAATAAAAAAACTTAGGACCTATCTCCTGGAATCTGAGAGTTCTGTTAGAACTTAATAATTAACTGCTGGGCAAGATAGGCTTCTTGCCGTATAGAAGTCCACGGTCAATCAAGAATTGTCTACTGGGAGCTGTCTGAGCAGTTTTCTAGGCTATGATTACACTGTAATTTATGCAAAACTGCAGATTGTGGCAAAGAGTTTTGGCAACTAACACAGAGTGCCAATTTGAGGAAAAAAATATTTGCTACTTAAAAAGACGCTAGAACAAACAGCACAATATGCTTCATTTTTGAGTAGCATTTTTTTTTTGTTTGTTTAAATGACTCGAAATGAGGAGTTTATTTTTGTTGGATGTTTCTAGGTCATTTCCTGGCTTCGCTTATTTGATAATCAGGAAATAATCCCAGAACCATGCTAAGCAACGGAGACAGACAATCCCACATGCTC